AAAAAAAAAAAAAAAGATTCAGTATTCTCTTCCATCTTCTAGTGGAGATTGTAATAAATTGCCTAAAAGATAAGTCAAAAATAAAAAAGGAAAGCAAAAGTTCAGGTAATCCACCAACCAGATTCTCAACTCAGTGCTTGAGTAATTGAGGGAATAGTAATTTATCATCCCAGAACCTTTAAGAGAGTTGAAACTCCATAAAGATGTACCAAGAGATTCTCTTCCTTCAGCTCACCGAGATGAGCCTCTTTGTCAGGAATGGGCTGACAAAGCCCATTTAGTCCCTCCTCCCTCCACCCATCTTCATTTTTCAGCTCTTGGGAGTGGTAACAAGTCAGGAAGCGGGCATATGTATGAGATGTTGCTCCCTGCTTTACGGTTGTGTGAAGTCAACGTCAGGCCTTCTTTGCTGGATCCGAGTAGCAGCAATTAAATTCCGCTTTCCTCTGATTCCCAGTTCCTGCCCCTCCTCTCCCTTAGCTGAGTGTGTGTGCCGTATTTTTACCTTTTTTTTTTTTTTTTGGTCCTTTTGAGTCAGGGTCTTGCTATGCAGGTCAGCCTGGCCTTGAGCTCACTTTATAGCCCAGGCTGTTCTTGAACTCACAATGATCCTCCTGCCTCAGCCTTCCAAGTAGCTGGGATTACAGGTGTGCACCATCACTCCTGGCTGTGTTCTGTATTTTTAATGCTGAAATTTGACAACCTTTCCAAGCTCGATCACCAGAATGTAACGAAACAGGAGATCTTTGTCTCACACTTGGATGGTGTGGAAAATGCAAAGTGCCTCCGTTTATTGAGCACACATTTAGCTATCACCTCTGCAATGCAGTTAATCCTCCTGACTTCTTTCAGTGATTCTTTCAGTCTTGACCAACAGTTTCCACCTGTACCTCTGTAAAGGCACCTTTACATTGTACCTGGCTAGAACTGTGCATTCATCTTCAGGATTGTGAATATGTATTTATTTTTGGATTGTGAACTATCTATCTATCTATCTGATGATAGCATCTCACTATGTAGTTCAGTCTGACCTTGAACTCACTGTGTAGCCCAGGCTGACCTTAAACTCACAGTGATCCTCCTGCCTGAGCCTCTGGAGTGCTGGGTTTACAGGTGTGCACCATCACAACTAGCTGGATTGTGAGCTTTTTTTTTTTTTGTCTTTTTGAGACAGGGTCTCGCTACGCAGTTCAGTCTGGTCTTGAACTCACTTTGTAGCCCAGGCTGGTCTTGAACTCACAATGATCCTCCTGCCTCAGCCTCCTGAAAGCTGGGATTATAGGCGTGTGCCACCATGCCTGGCTTGGATTGTGAACTTTTTTTTTTTTTTTTTTTTTTAGTTTTTCTCCGGTACTGGGAACCGAACTCACGACCTTGCGCTTGCTAGGCAGGTGCTTTGCCGCTGAGCTAAATCCCCAGCCCCTACTGTGAACTTTTAAAGACAAGTTTTTCTCTTCTATTCATCTCTGTGCCCACTGCTCACTACACATTTGCCACACATATACACAAGTGACAATAATGCTTCTCTTGTCACAGAGCTTGAAACTTGGCTCGTCTGGGACACCATCCCTTTCTTTCTTCCACATATGGTGAGTTTGCAAGGCTTACTGATTCTCCCTCTACAATGTTTCTCACATTCTTTTTCACTGCAACTGATAATCACCTTTGGCTTCTCATTTCCTCGCTCCTGAATTACTGAAAATTTCTTCCTAGACTGACTGGACCTAAACTCTCACTCTTCAGTTCCCTGGGCACAGTGTTGGATTGGTTTTCCTAAAATGCCATCTTGATCTTATCACTCACCTACCAAAAACTGTCCTCTAGGACTGGGGATTTAGCTTGGCAGCACAGCGCTTGTCTGGCAAGCACGAGGTCATGAGTTCGATTCCCAGTACCAGAACAAAACAAAACAAAACAAAAAACCAAAAAACGCCGATAAAAACTGTCCTCTAAAGTTCATGCTATTCAGGATGGCACATAAGACCTCCTATAATCTGCTCCTGGCTCCTTGCTGTACCCCTTGGGTTCAAGTGCTGTCACACAGAGGTGGGGAGGAGGGCACTATAAATGGGTACGAGCTTGGGGGTCCAAGATAGCTTTGTCAAGGAGATCTGGATTGATTTTCTTTTTTTTTTTTTCTTCTCTGCTTCTCACCCTCCCCTTCCTCTTTTGAGACAGGGTCTCACTATATAGTTCAGGCTGGCTAAACTCACTGTGTAGCCCAAGTTGGCCTCAAACTCACAGCAATCCTCCTGTCTCAGCCTGCTGAATGCTGGGAATGCAGGCTTGCGCCACCACATCCAGCTGTGGATTTATTTTCTTAAATAGCACTTGGGTCTGCTTGCTGCTCAAACCCATAGCCTCTCCTCCTTCAGCCCTTAGCTGGAAATGATTTTCAGAATAGATGGTACTTAAGACAGATGTGGAGGGATATCGTATAAATAGGTGGAGTATAGGTGTGGAGATGAGCTAGGAATAGAGGAAAAAAAGTTTGTGGTAGATGGATTTGGATTGGATTATAGTGGACCTTAAACCTGGAACCAGGCATAGTGGCACACACCTATAATCCTAGAACTCTGGGAGGCTGAGGGAGGAGGGTCTCAGAGAATTCAAAGTCAGTCTGGGTTACATAGTGAGTTCAAGGCCATCCTGAGCTACTTAGTGAAACCCTGTCAGAGGGGCTGGGGATTTTTTTTTTTTTTTTTTTGGTTTTTCTCCGGTACCAGGAACCGAACTCACGACCTTGCGCTTGCTAGGCAGGCGCTTTTGCCGCTGAGCTAAAGGGGCTGGGGATTTAGGTCAGCAGCAAAAAGTGCCTACCTGGCAAGTGCAAGGTCATGAGTTCGGTTCCCGGTACCGGAGAAAAACCAAAAAAAAAAAAAAAAAGAAACCCTGTCAGAAAGAAAGAAAGAAGAGAAAAAAAGAAAGAAAGAAAGAGGCAATTTAGCACGACTCTGTCTGTAAGTAAATGAATAAATAAATAAAATAACCTGGCTGGGGATGTAGTTCAGTGCAAAGGTCCCAAGTTTGATCCCTAATATTGCAACAAAGCAAAACACCCAACCCTCCCAACAACACCACAGAGAAATCAGCCTGCCGTGAAAGAGAGGGCTTACACTTTGTCTCGAAGCTCTTCAGAACCTCTTAGAGCAGAAACAAGATTTGAGAGGCATCTTAGGAGAACGTGTTCCTGTAGAGAATGGGAGATGGAGGGTGACCAGTCAGGAGCCCTCTCAGCTGCCTGGGCCTGACTTGGCAGTGGCCTGACTAGGGACACGGGGTCTGTCCATACATAGAGTCTAAGATTTAACTTCCGAAACTGGGCGGGGTGGGCGCTGGGGATTTAGCTCAGTGGCAAAGCGCCTGCCTGGCAAGCGCAAGGTCGTGAGTTCGGTTCCTGGTACCGGAGAAAAACCAAAAAAAAAAAAAAAAAAAAAACAGAAAAGAAACTGGGCGGGGTGGCACACGCCTGTAATCCCAGCACTCGGGAGGCTGAGGCGGGAGGATTGTTGCAAGTTTGAGACCAGTCTGGGCTACAAAGTGAGCTCAGGACTGACCTGAACTGCATAGCAAGACCCTGTGTCAAAAAGACCAAAAAAAAAAAACCAAAAAACAAAAAACAAGACTTAGCTTCCTGCCACCTTTGCATGTCACCACAGCAGTACACCTGGGAGTTTGGCTGATGCCCTCAGGAACTCCTGCAATGCCGAAGAGAGAGGCAAATGCCAGGTCCAAAGTCATCTAGCTGGGACTCTGAAGCATGGTTACATGGACCAGTTTGAAATCATCCACGATCACAGGGCCAGGGAAGTTGCGGTGAACCTTTAAGGCAGGCTAAGCGAGTGTGGAGTGATGAATCTCAGACTTGCGGTGCAGCTGAAAGCTGGAGAACAGTGACAGAATAAACTGTTCCCATCCCACCAGTCTGGTCTTTCTTTTCATTTTCGGTTTTGTTTTGAGACAGGGTCTCTCTATGTATTTCAGGTTGGTCTTAAACTCATTATGTGTAGTCCAGGCTGGCCTCCAACTCCCAGTGATCTTCCTGCTTCAGCCTACTGAATGCTGGGATTATAGCTGTGCACCAGCAAGGCACCATGCTCAGCTTTCTTTTCTTTCTTTCTTTCCTCCTTCCTTCCTTCCTTCTTTTCTTTTTTTTCTTTCTTTCTTTCTCCAGGGTCTCGATATGTAGTTCAGGTTATCCTTGAACTCCTGGTGATCCACCTGCCTCAGCCTCCCAAGTGCAGGGATTACTGGCATGTGCCTCCATGCCTACATTTACAGTGCTGTTGTTTTTTTTTTTTAATAGGTTCACACTATGCAGTTCAGACTGGCCTCAAATGGGTGTGCAGTGATCTACCTGCCTCAGCCTCCCAAGTGGTGGGACTACAGGCTTCTGCCACCACATTGGTAGTCTGGTTTCATTGTATTAACACCCTCAGCTGGTATCACAAACCATGAAATGTTGGACTTCTCATCCAACTCTGTCCAGGGTGAACAGATTCCCCAAACTAGGTGCCCACAGATGTATAAAAAAGTAAGAAAAAAAAAAAATCAAACCAAGAGAGCCAAAATTCTGTGATCAGGTGCTAGCAGCCTCTAGGACCGACTGACTTCTGATTACCATCTTCAGTAACCTTTTATTCAGAACCCATCAAGGAGGCAGTCGAGGAATCAGAGAATATCAACTGTTTTAGCAAGGACAATACAACTCAATTATCATAGGAATGTGACCTGACCAGTAAGCCATCATGTTAGCTTCCTTCGCCCATATCTCAGCAAAGCATCGAGTAGTGATGGGGCGGGGTGGCTTACAATGCTTATGCTAGACTTCTTCCAGAACCCAACAATCATGGCTTGGTCAGGCCTCAGGCAATACACAAAACAGTAACTAAAGAATGTCCTTCTCAACAATGAAAGAGCAACACGAAAACACAAGAGAGAAAAATCCTGGGTGTTCTTTTTCTAGGGATGTAAAGCATGTACATAAATAAATGCCTCAATGGAAAAAAAAAGAGCCTAAGAATTTTTTTTTTTTTTGTCTTTTTGAGACAGGGTCTCGCTGTACAGTTCAGGCTGGCCTTAAGCTCACTTTGTAGCCCAGGCTGGCCTCGAACTCATGATCCTCCTGCCTCAGCCTCCCGAGTGCTGGGATTATAGCGTGGGCCATCGTGCCCAGCAGATTTAGCCTTTAGAAAGAGGATCTGTTCTGGCTCTTTGGTGCGATCCGCAGGTGGGCCTACATAAGGAGAAGGACCAGCTGGATTTCAACACGTCCTCCTGGCTTGTCCACTGTCCCCGTGCTCTGTCTGCACTGCCCTTAGCACTCAGACCCCAGGAAGCCACGAAACTGCGGCCTCAGCACCATGATATCTGGGGGGTCCTGGCTCTTCCCTTAGTGCTTGGTGTGTTTCTTTGAATAAACTTGTCCCACAGCACCACCGTGACCTGCAGTGTTAGTACAATCCACGCTATCTGACACTGGAAGCGTTGCAGCTTGCCACTCCACCCCGATCTTTCTGAAGCACCAGCTGTTAGGGTCCAGCCCTTCTAGTTGGTCTAGGACTGGGTGCAGTGTCATGGGGTCAAGGTCAGGAACCACAGACCAGCCCCTCTGAGCCGCTAGACCCTTTTGTCCTCATCCTCATCCTCATCCTCATCCTCAGGACTTTAGCAGAAGCCAAAGAGGCTCTCCTCTTCACTCCCAGGCAGAGGGGGAGGAGCACGTTTCTGCCTTTCTGGAAGGTATCTGACCCTTCTTACAAAACCACCCTGCTCTCTTCTCTTCTGTGTTTGCCTCAGTCAGTTTTATTTTTGCCCAGCCTTGGCCTGTGCTGTGGGTATAGGTGGCCTCAGAGCGTCCTGGTCTGGCGCCCCGCTGCCTCAGGGGGCCCATGGCGCAGCACTCTAGCCGACTCAGAGCATGAGGTGTTTGGGATTTTTTCCTCTCAATTTTCGCTGCAGCACGCGCTTGCAGTACATAAAGGTCACACTGCTGTGCGGTTGTCCGCGCACCTGGCACGTCTTAATTCTGTGTGCATCCTTCCCACCTCTCTCTCCTCCCGCCGAGCGCTCTTCGCGCTCCCAGGCTGGGCGCCTTCTCTATCTTTCAAAGCCCAGAGTCCCACATGGAGTAGCAGGGGCGGCCCATCCTGTGCCCTCTCCGCGTGCCCCTTTCCTGTGCAGTGACTTCACCCCTCGCCCACACAGGTTGCAGAAGGACAGGTGGGGGACTCTGGCGGCTCTCCGAGGCTAGGGCAGCAGGAGCTGGAGGTCTCACTCTCGGGGCAGCGTTTGTCCTCTCACCGTCGGAGACGCCCCGGCCTCCACCTTCCCTCGCAGCTGTCCGAGGCGGGCCGCGGGCTGCGGGAGATGGAGCGGCAGCTCCCACGCTTCGCTTACTGCTCCTGGCGGCCGCCCAGCTTCCCTGCCGCGTCCCTCTTCCCCCACAAATCCCCGGCGGCGCCTTCCTCCCGTCACTCAGCCCCGCGATGGCGCTACAGGACGCGTGCGGGTGGCGGGCCCTCGACACCCAGGGACCGGCCCCGCATCTGCCTGCGGCCGGCGACTGGGCCGCGCCCCGCGGCTGCGACCCTCAGTCCTTCCTGCACACGCACGGCCCCCGCCTGGCCCACGGCACCACCACGCTGGCCTTCCGCTTCCGCCACGGCGTGATCGCGG